ACCTGCTCTCTAGACTAATGTCCCTGTTGGGTCTTCTAAGATGTTGAAATCAGCAGCTTCCCAGGGCTAGCCCACTGGGTCAGGGCATGGTCCTGTAGACAGCCTGTTGCCCAGCTGTGGGATGGGAAGCACTGCTCTGGGGAAAGGGCAGGGACATGGCAGCAGCAATGTTGAGACCTCTCAGCTCTGGTCCATGTGTTGCAGCCAGGGACCCCACACTGAAAAGCATCCCCCAGCCCTTCTCACGGTCACTCATATCACACCCGCTCCTTTTCCTGTCTCTGTGCTTATGGAAAGCAAAGCTTTGGCCTGCATTGCTCTGGTGCTGGGTGGGCTGTGAGCCCACCTTGGGCAGCCAGAGCAGACGGGGAGGTTAACATAATTCTGTGTAATGTGTCCCCCCTCGCTACCCCAGGCTGAGGGAGGCTGCTGGGGTGGAGGCAGGGCTGGAGCTGGCTCAGCTGCTATTGCAGCATGTAGAGCAACAAGGCTGGGGGTGCTGGCAGGGACCCAAGGTTGTGGGTATGTTTGGTATTCGGCTGCCAGGTCATCCGATCTCAGCCAGGAGGCTGCTTGTAGGAAGCGGGTTGCGATTGAACATGGCCTGGAGCCACGGGCATTTGAGAGCACCTGCAAATATCACCCTACACCCCCACCCAGGGCCTTTGCTCCACTCCCCAAACCCCTCGACCTCCTCCCTACAAACGGACCTGCCCCCCCTCAGCCACTGACCCTCCGAGACTCAAGCTCAGCCTTGGCACTAGCAGCTCAGGCACAGCTTCAGTGGAACTGCCCCATCTCATGCCAGGTCTGGCTTGGTCACTTCAGGCCTCCTCTGCCCATAAAACTGGGCTTCAGGGGCCTTGTGTGGGTGAAACGCAAGGTGAAGGGCTGAGAATGGCTCCCGGGGGGCTCTTGAACTCCACCCAGGAGCAAGAAGGCTCCTATTTCAGGACCAACTTGGGTTCCTCATGACCTTTGCCTTCCTCTGCCTGACTGCCCTTTGGGGCAAGACGAGGATCTGGCCCGCAGCTCCTTGGTGCTGACCGCACCCCAGCACAGGTGTGGAAGTGCCCCGGGGGGATTTATGGCTGGGCCATACTTAGAACCCAGGAGCAGGCTGAACCCAAAGGGCACCTGTCCTTATTAGGCCTGGGCTGGGGGACTGTAACTTGAACTCCCCTGCTCCTCCTGCTGAGGCTGGGCTTGTGGGCTGCGGCGCAGGCTCCGGAAGGACATAGGTCTATTTTGGGGATGGGCTGTCTGAGCCCTCATCTCAAAGGGTTCAAGCATTATCCAAGCTGGTAAAAGTCTGGGCCTGAAAGCAGCACTTAGGGGTTTGCTGCCCACAGGAGATGAAGCCAGGGGTGGGTGGGAGGGGACTGGGCCCTGAGGTGCCCCATAGCGCCAGGAAAAATGAAGCCCAGTGCCAAGGAGGTAGCCGGCCCCTTCTCTAAGCCCCTGGTTCCCACCAGGTTGCAGGAAGGGTGCTGCAGCTTTGTGCAAGGGGAATGATCACTGTCTGGGCATGGGGAGTTGCAGATGTGGTGTGGGGGAGGCAGGTGTCTCACGGGGGAACTGGGTGGTTGCAGGCAAGGATGCAGAGAGGATCGGGCAAGTCTGCTGCTCTGGGCAGGGCTGAGGAGGAGGGCGGCTGGCCCAGGGAGCATGGAGGATGGTGCAGTCATGCCAAATCTGTGTTGTGTCTTTGTTCTTTATACCCAACAACAACGTGAAGGCAAGGCAGGGACATGGTTAGGTCCTACCTCAGTGCCCTTGCTATAATGCCCCAGCATGCCAGGCCTAGCTAGACATCCTGCTGCTACTTCCAAACACCATGAGTACCACTGAAAGGATCACAGGGTATTTAAAGGGATATTGCCCTATCGCTTTAGACGACCGACTGGAAGAAGGCTCAGCTTGCCCTGCATCTTTGCCTCTCTTGGCTGCACCCGTGCCAGTATCTGATTACACTGATAGCCAGAGCAAGCTGTGCACATACAAGTCACGTCACACACATGTAAAGCTTGTCCACATGTGGGGGCTGCGCCTGCTGGTGGGATCACACCAGAGCAGCTCAGCCCTTTGCAGACTTGCAGTCAGTGGGGTGAGACTAGATGAACACCCATCTAGCCCCTAAAACCCAGCTGCCTTCTCCCAGGGCTTACCTCCCCAACTCTCTCTAGTGTCCCCAGCACATATTCACCTGCTGTCTACTTTGCATTAGCAGTAGCGAGGGGCTAGGGGTAGAGCCATGCAGTGCTTAGGAACACTGTGGGGTAACAAGTTTGGCCCTATGTTTTTAAAAAGTGGCTGCTTGGGAAGGCTGTCAATCGATCAGCCTGGCTTCCTGCTGGGAAGGATGCTTGATGCTCAAGCAGGGCAGGAGCAGATGACCCCAGGGACTGTGTGCCCAGCCTAAGGGGCCTGTCCCTGCATCTTAGCCATCAGGCCAAGCGCCTCCCTCATGCAGCACTGCTGGAGCCCCTGAGCTAACCTGGCCCTTTGGGGCTCCAAAGCGAGCTCCCTGGGGTGCAGCACTGCCTGGCAGCAGGCAGCCTGGTCCCTGTGCATCCTGCTCTCTGGGGAGTGGAGAGTGTGGTGGGCCAGTAGGGGGCGCTCCTGCGTTGATCCACCCACCTCCCTGCACCTGACCACCTTCCAGGCTCCAGGTGCCTCCCTAGAGGTGCCTCACGTCTGGCTGTCCCCCTTCCTGGAGCACACTCGCTAGCCTGGGGGTAACGTAGCTGTCACCACCCCGAGAAGGGACTGCGGCCCTGTGTCCTCGGGGAAACACAGGCCTAATAGTCCTATGGGTACTTGACCCAGTACAGGCACTTGGGGCACTTCCCCAAGTCGGGGGTCAAAAAGGAAAGTCGCCCTTAGTCCGCAGACCTAAGGGGCCTCTTAGGCATAATTTAGACCCACCCCTCAATAAGTCTCCCACACCGGTCACAAAGGAGAACTTTATTGATTACAGGGGTAGGGTGAAAATAGGGTCCAAGATAGAGCAATCTCATAGAAATCCCATAGAGGAAAACAGTCTGGCTGAGGTAGCCTTTTGATCACGCATCTGAATTACTGCCAGCTATATATCTAACCAGATCTCGAGTAGCTTACTCACAAGCGTCATCCAGAGGCTGGTGGAGGCTCCCTCTGGAGGCAGGCCGTTCCTAGCTTGTGAGTTTTGGGGGAGAGAGCCAGTTTCAGATGCTAAAACTCCTCTCTAAATCTGGGTCCCCCGCATGGCTGCTGCCCCTTCCTCCTGGGCAGTCTTAACTTATATAGCCCCTGTGATCTCATTCACTTGGTCCAATGGAGGCCAGCTCCAGCTGACTGTTGGCCAATCAATTTGAAATACATCACTAGTTGTTGGGCAGACTCTAGCCCACCAGGTAGAAGCCCCCCACCCAGGTAGCTGATACCAGTCAGGAGGCAGAGAGAGCAGGTTTCCCCCCTCCCTCAGGAATGTAGCCAGCTTAGGTTACCTAAAGGGATAGGGTAAGGGTGCATCTCCTCTGCTGGGCCCATCCTCATCACATTGTCACAGGACAGAGATTTTGTGGCTTCCTGCCACAGAGAGCAGCTGTGACTGGGAGCTCAGAGATGCACCAGCTTTGTGTTAGAGATTTTTTTTTAATTTGTATCTGTGGCCAAATTAGCCAAAACTAATTCCAAATCCAAGAGTCCAGAACCGTAAGTGGCCCTAGTACCGGCAAACATCCCCCAGATGTTTCCAAAACCTTTGGCAGGCATTCTACTTGCAGGCCCAAGCCTGGAGGCTTGGGGTTTGGATGCCTCTGAGTTGTGCTTGCACTCAGCCGTAAGGCCCTTGGAGTAAGCAAGGGAGGATACTCCCATTTCCACAAACCAGGCATAAAGCTGCTGCACCTCAATGGGTCCTGAACCACACCAGAAGAGCAGTTCTCCTGTGATGCGGTTCAGGAAAACTGCCTTCTTGGACACAGATACGTGGCATTTCTCCTGCCAGGTTAAGAAGCCACTGAGCTTGTCCATCTGCTCTCTGGGCCATGGGAGCAGTACATGCTTCTAGGTCATCTTCATACTGGGCCTTGCCGTGCCCTGTCCAGCGCTGACCCATGTCCTGTGGTAGGGTGCTCTGACACCTGAGCTCGGGCTGTAACCCAAGCATCCCCGAGGCCATTAAATATGCAAGGGCGGTCTCATTGTAAGGCAGCAGCCCGGTCCAGCAGACGGTGGCTCTGGACAGCAGGGCTGAAGAAGACACCTGCCCCAGCGAGGTCCATCTCTCCACTCACCCCCAGATCTCTCCCCAGTTCGCACCCACTCTGAGCCTGCCTCGCAGTCCCGGTGGGGTGTGTTTGTCTCCTGTTTCTGGCTGGCGGGCTGGAGCAGACGGCAGGGAGGGCCGGTTGTCACAGTGACAAGCACAGCCTCACCGGCTCTCTAGAGCTGCTGCAGAAGGCTCAGGAGTGCTTGAATGCGCCAGGTAAGGGGGCCGGAAGGGCAGAGGTCCTAAGCTGGGGGGGGTGTCGGCTGGGCACCCTCACAGCTGCAGGGAGGGGGTCAGGGCCACTCTCTTCTGAGGTCTTCAGGCACATCTCAAATGGACCCAGTGCCAGCTGGGTGGGTGTCCGGTTGCAGGGCAGCTGGGTGGATCTGCACCGCTGGGCTCGGCGCTTTGGTGCGCAGTAAGCATCCAGTTACTAGGGCAGCGTGTTCTCCAACCAGCCCGTGCTGTGGGTCCGTGTGCGTTAGTGTGAGGTAGGCGTGCGTGGCCGTGCAGCTCGGGGAGTGCCGGGGATCCCTCCGCTTCTACGCGTGGGGCTTGCCAGAGGCCTCCCTTCTGCTTCCTAGGAAACCTGTCTCGCAGCAAGAAGGCGGCAAGGAGATTCAGAGCCCCAGAGCTCTGCGAAGCGCTAGCCGCTTTGCCTCAGGCAGGACTGAACCAGAGCGAGCCTGTTGTGGAAGTCAAGGGCCGGCCGAGCCCTCTAACCAAGCCTTCTGTTTCCTTCCAGCCTGAAGATCTTTGCCCAGCTCCCCTCAGGATGGCAACAGGTGAGAGCTCCTCTTCCCAGTCCCTGTGGCTGTATCTCCCCCTCCCCTCCCTGTCCCCATTCCCTCCCCATCCCGGTGTGTCTTTGTCATACTGCTGCTAAGTCACAGCGTCCAGGCCACAGTGTGAGCCCCTACTTGCAGAGCCAGGGTGCTGAGGTGTGAGGTTAGGTCCGAGTCCCCGCTCAGATCCAAATCCCCAGGTCTTGTAGCTTGTTACCCCCTCAGGAAGATTGTCCCTCTTCACTGCCCTTCTTTTCTCTATCACCCCCTTCTCAGCCCCAGCGTTAGGGTCGTGCAGGTGTGATGTGGACATCCAGAATGGAGCAGAGCAGCCCCACGAAGCATGCTCCTCAGAGAATTGCTCCTGGCAACGTCCCTGTTGGACCTTTGTGCTGGAGCTGGCATGTGAGTCTGCAGCTGCCAGACCCACTTTCCTCCATCTCCTCCCTGGATTCTCCCTTGCTCTTCCCCTCCTCCCTCTTCTGGTAGCAGGTCAGACCCTGCTCTCACTCACTGATGCCCATGAAAGAGTTCATCTGCCTGTAAAGGGATGCTCTGGGAAGCTCAGCTTCTGTGGTTGGTCTCTGGCGAATCTTCTCTAGAGGCCCATTCATGCCCATTTTGACTGTGCTTGATCCTGTGAACCTGCCCTCTGAGGCTGTGACCACCACTGGCAAACTGGCAGAGCCTGAGCCACATCTCCTGCCTCTGGGTTTGGTGCCTGATGATCAGACCAAACCATTTCCCTTAGCATGTGCTTCCCTTCCAGAGTCTCAGAGACTGTCCCCAGCGCAGGCAGGCGCATCCCCCCAGCCTGTCCTGTCCCTCAGCAACTTGGCTGGGGAAGATCTGCGTTGCCAAAGCAATTGGAAAGCTCCCCATTGCCAAAGGCAGGCTCCTTCCTGCTGCTCAACTCAGCCATGCTCAGAGGTGTAATTTTAGAAGGCTGTAATCAGAAGACCTCTAGTTGCTGGGTGCTGTGGCTCTGAACTTCAGACAGCTCTGGAGACACCCTGCAGTATTTTTAGCCCTTCTTCCCAATCTCCGTTACGCTCAAGAGAGTTGAAAGTGCTGGAAAGGCTGGTCTGTGCCAGGCATGACGGTCACCCTCTGGGCTGATGCAGCAGAGACTGCCCCTGGCATCTCCAGTGCTGACAGCGTGAGCTGCTGCTGTCCAAGCGCAGCACCTGGGGCTTGTAGCATCTCCTGACCTCTGCAGAGCAGCGCAGCGACGGAGCTGTGACACTCCTCAGTGAGTTCCATGGGTGCTGGAATTGATTATGAATTAAATTGCCCATGTCCAGGGCAGCTCTGGCCCTGAGAGCCCTTTCTGGGGCTGCACTGCAGTGTTGGCACGGGCCATGCATCTGTTACTGAACGGGGCAGCCTGGATGCTGAGCTCGACCTTCCTCAACAGGACAGTAAATTATCACTGCCTCTCTCCTGGGCATGTTGGATGTGGCTGCTGTATGCAGAGTGCTGGGATATCTGAGATGACTGGCATGCACCAAAGAGGATGTGATAGGATTGGCTCAGTGGAGCTGGCAGGGGAGGGAAGGCCTTGGGCAGACAGGTGAGGAGTGGCTGAACCCCGATGTCTGAGAGGTGCCTTAGCAGCCGGGGAGGGGGCACATCCCAGGAGAGGAGGAGCCTTCAGGGATGTTGCTTGCTCAGGGTTAATGGTATAGAAATGAATCGCCACATCCCAAAAAGATCCTCTCCCTCTCGGAAGGAAGCATTGCCCATCCCTTCCCGTGAAGCTCGTCTTTCTCACTCGGGGTGACATCCTCCTGCTTTGTGTGCTTCAAACTGCTCCAGCTCCTCACCCACCGCAGCGGGGCCTCCAGTTTAGATCTGGATGACCCAGTGTGCGCCGTACATCCCATGAAGCCAGCTGAATTACCTTAGGGTTGAATTTGGCCCGCTGTCTGCAGGAGCAGGAGGCATTGCCTCGGGGTGCAGGGGCAGAGTCCACAGCAGCTCTTGCCCCAGGCAGAAGGACGGCGGATGCTGTGGCTTGTGGGGCTTCCCCGCCACTTTCCTCCTGGTCTAGTCCAGGAATGGCCCCGAGCTGCCAGGTTTGGGGAGCCCGGAGGTGAAGGGTGCTGCAGTCTGGGGGCTGCTGAATGAAGACCCTTCCACAAGCAGGTCCGCTGTCCCATTCCCACTGGCCCCCGGGGAGTCACTCTGGATTTACCCCGGGGGGAGCGGAGATCAGAATCCTGATCTCTTGGCTTTTATGAAGCGGCTGTGGCTTGGCTCCAAGCGTGTCATAGCAACCGTCTCCATAGCAGTGCGCAGGGAGCTCCTAGCACAGGGTTCCAGCCTGGCCGCACAAGGACGCCACTGGCTCGGGAATCAACATGTGCTGAGCGGAAACAGCTCCGCCAGCGGGGAGGTGGGGAAGGCGTGCGGGAGCCAGGAGCAGAGACATGGGGGCATCGTGCTCGTGTGTGCCCTGCTCGCTGGAGCAGGCCGGCAAAGGTACCTGGGGGAGAGCAACCCCACAAGGGCTCCCTGGGCTGCTGCCAGCCACACGGCTGCTTTTCTGCTTGGATTCAGCCTGCGGGAACTGGGTTTTCTTGCCAAGTCTGCTCCATTTCCAGGCAGCCATGGCCGGTCCCCTTAGGAGGGCCTCAAAAAGAGCAAGCCATTCCAGCTGGCTGGCTATTTCCTTCCCATGATCTCCCTCAGACTAACTCTCTGCTTTATTTTTCCTCTTCTCCCATAGAAAAGCTGAAGAACCACAAGATCATCTTCGTGGTGGGTAAGTTGGCACTTGGCTCTCAGAAAGCTCTGGGAAGTCCTTAGGGGCAGGGTGGCTGCGGAGGTGTGTAAGGCCAGGTTGTGTCTGCGGGGACCGTCGGAGGGTTTTCAGCCAAGCTGTCCGGGGAGGGCAGTGATTTCCGAGGTCTGACCGGAGGTGCCATGCAGGAACTCGCAGTTTCCAGGGGGCAGGTGCTCAGCACTTTCAGGCAGTCAAGGCTCTTCCCAGCTGTCTCAGGTTGGGCTCCAAAAATCAAGGTGCTCATCTGCAAACGTTGGCTCTGGCCTCTCAAGGGAAGTTGAGTCCATCATTTAAAACAGGACAGGCTCAAATCCTTAGAGTGCACCTAGAGAGGAGGCTGGCACTGCGTCAGGATGGCCTGGCAGGCGGGGAGGGCTCTTACACGTACCTGCAAAAGGCATCTGGAGACGGAGGGCCTCTTGTAATCCATCACTAGGGTGCAGCAAGGCAAGAGCTCTGCCTGCGTGGCACCCATGTGCCCCATGCCTCACCTGGAGGGAGCCCTTTTAATCCCTGGCATCTTTCAGTTATGACTGTCTGGCAAAGTGCCCACAAGCACCAGCTGCTGTGTGCATTACAGTTTTCTCCCCTCTTTGCTGCATCAATTGCCTTTCTGTTATTACCAGCATGAGCTAAATTAGAGTTGGTAGCAGAGGTTGGGGGACACTTAAGGAAGATGTCAGCTGAGGACACGCTGACACTGTGGGGGATAAGCAGGCTTCCCTGCAACCTGGGGGGCCCTGCACGGATCTGTACTTCCCTGCCTTTCATCCCTGGGGGTAGTGGGCAGTCTAATACATGGTTTCTCAACCAGTGGTACGTGTACCCCTGGGGGTATGCGGGTACCCCAACACTCTCTCTCTTGCCCTCTTTTTGTCTCTCTCTCTCTCACCCTCTTTTCTTCTCAAAACTATGACAAAAAAATTGGTGCACAGAGCATTGCGCGGCACTTTAAATTCCCCAGTAATAATTTGGCGTGCTGGGCATTGCACAGCACTGGGTTCAGCCCTTCTGGCTTTGGGCCACATCACCTCTAGCCCAGGTACATACTTGAGTTGTGCACCCCGGTGTAAAAAGATGGCAACCATACCCACACCAGGTCAGACATCTGTCATATCACAGCCTTATATGCACAGCCCTTCTTGCAACAGATGGCAAACATTAGTCTGTAAATATAAAATCCCCTGGAAAATTGAGTGTTGGGTTACTTATTAAACTGTTCAGAAGTTAGGGGGTACTTGCTACTTAAAAGTTTGAGAAATACTGATCTAGTAGACTCGACCTTTCCTGGGTATCCCTGGGGATTACAGCTCTCAGTGGGGATTTTCCCTAGGAGGTGTCAGGGCTCTTTTTCCTCCAGCTTCATCTTGGTTATGCAGCTGTTGCCCTCATATGAATTCCAGGTGGGCCCGGCTCAGGAAAAGGGACCCAATGTGAAAAAATTGTCGAGAAGTATGGGTACACCCACCTGTCCACCGGCGACCTGCTAAGGGCAGAGGTTGGCTCCGGCTCTGAGAGGGGGAAGAAGCTTTCAGCCATCATGGAGAAAGGAGAGTTGGTGCCCCTGGTGAGTACAGGCTCTTAAATACAGTAGCTTGGAGGTTCCCAGTATACCTGTGCTGCTGTGTGAGAGCACCCAGTTCAGAGGCCACAGCAGGACGTCTCGTCTGGCGAGCACAGTGCATCGTGGATATCTGAGACTGGCAGACTAGTTTGTGGGGGTGTTAGTAGAGCACCTCTTCCCCAGCTCCCAGAGGGTAGCTTAGGAAACTTGCTTCCCAGGAAACTAGTAGCTCCTGGTAGCTGGGAAGTAGGGCAGGTTAGGGTAGCACAGAAGGGAAGATCCACCTCTGAGTGTAGGCAACCGGATGCTAGGGTGACAGGCACAGTATAAAGGCCCAGATGGATGGAAGAATCTCTCCTCCTTCCTCTCATGGTACCTGCTGCAGTGAAGCAGCAGAGCGCTACGCACAACCCCTGGATCCTGTGCAATGACTTGGCTGAGCCCTGCTGCCACTGTGGCTTTGAGAAGGGGAGCCTGGAAGCTGTGGGGGACGGTGCAAAGCTGTGGTGAGACTGGAATGGGAAGCGCTGTCCCCAGCCCTGCCCTGAATGCCAGCATTTCCCTCTGCCCTCAGGACACAGTGCTCGATATGCTGAGGGATGCCATGGTGGCCAAGGCAGATGTTTCCAAAGGGTTCCTGATTGACGGCTACCCCCGAGAGGTGAAGCAAGGCGAGGAGTTCGAGAAGAAGGTGAGGCAGGGAGTGCCAGGACCTTTGGCACTCTTAAGAGGGCTGTGAGCCTTCCCACATGCTCTCTGGCAGCACACACCCTTTACACTGAGAACAGGAGCCATGTGGGAGGGAGAGCAGGGCTGCCCAGGGCTCGGCAAGGGAACGCGATCCACAGGACAGCTACAACCAGCTTGTGCCAGCAGCAGTGGGAGCAGTTACACCCCCTTGCCCTCCACTGGTGCTCCAGAGAGCACCTGCTGCAGCCTTGTCAGCAATCACAGGCTGGGCAGGCTGGGGCTTGCTCTGCAGCTGTGTGGGAGGCTGCAAAGTCAATCCCAGAAGGCTCAGGTTTGGGGGGGGCTCATTAGGA